ACCCTCTATGCCACTGGAATAGAATATCCTGCTGCAAAACACAAATTCTGTACTTCCCCTTTAGGGTACCTGTATAAGGCAAGACTTGCCTACGCAAGCAGCAGTAACTGCCTAGGCCTACTAGGACAACCATATCACTACAACTCCAGCAGGGTGGAAAATGGCTGCTTTATAGTCTGCGAGCATCCTAATTACGCGGGTGGCAGCACTTAACACGGGAGGAGCCTCCCATTTCTGTCAGTGGATGGGTTTTTTTGTTGCTTCACTAGAGCTTGTTGTGGGACTTCTGTATGTGGGAGCAGCTATTGCTGTGACTTGCAAAAGTCAGTAAAGCAAGAAAGCAGAGCAGTAACTCAAGGGAGGGTTAGGGTTTGTACATGGCTTTGCTTGGGCCTGATTTCTTCAAAGGGAGCAAGTTGTAAGAAAAGTTTGATATAGGCTGTTTTAGTCTCAAAAAGGCTGTAAGAAGATGCTATAAAAATGTATAACTCAAAGAGCTTCCTTTTCCCATGTTACTGTGGAAGGGATAAATAGCAATGTTCTGCACTTGCTTCAAAGGTGATACAGGTTGCTGTCAGGGAGGAGCTCCTAGCAGTAACTCCAGCCCTGAGGCAAGTCCCTCAGGGAGGAGGTAGAATCTCTTCTGTTCCTGGAGGCTGCTCACAGAGAGGGGTCCAGGGTGATTTAAGCACAGCAGATCTGGACTCAGCTCTTGTTTTTCTCTTGATGGAAAAAATTATGTCACAACCTCAAGGCAGGAGACTATTGTGGCTAGCAGCAAGTACCAGAGCACATGTATCACAAAACTAAAAATAATTTTACAGACACATTTTTGTCAGTGTCCCTCCATCCGTGCTAGGAGCTATGTTTAGATATTGCAGTAAAATATACTTCTCCCACTCCTGCACTGCTGATCCGCACGATACAGTGCTGAGCACAGATTAGCCCTTAAATTTCTCCAGGGAAACTTCACTGATCTTCTAAAAGTAAGACAAATATGCAAAGGCATGTTGCAGGGACTGGTCTCAGACTGTCTCTGGGCTCTTGGTGATACTTACCATCCCTAGCAACTTTTTATACAGCAGACAATGTAATGATATTTCACAGTCAATTAATTTGTAAAGGATTTCCAAACCTCACATGAAACCATTGCAGTGGTGTGGAAATTCCCTGCAAAGGAACCAACTGTGCAACGAATGGCAATGAACTCTCCATCACATG